GTGTGTGTGTGTGTGTGTGTGTGTGTGTGTGTGTGTGTGTGTGTGTTGTGAGGACAGTGAATGGAGTCATTCAATCTAAGCAAGAACTGATCTTATGATGTGTGTGTGTTTTCTCCCTGTGAGAGTTGTTTTACTGGGAGCACTTGGACTGAACTCCATTCAGTTTGACTGGACCTTCTTGTGTTTTCTGCTTTTTAAAAGCTTTCCTCAGAGAATGCTGTTTTTGCAGTGGCTATAATTTGGGGTTTCTTGTTGTTTTGTGTGCACCAAAGACTTTTTTTTTTAATGTGAAACACATGAGGTCACGCTTGAGAAAGACTTGTACTTGAATGTGTTTAAAGCTCAAAAAGATATGAGTCATACAATGGTCTTTGTTGTTTGATTTATTTTTCAGTGGGTAAATAAAAAAATGGAGTGTTTTTGTTCAGCTCCAGCTGCTTTGCGGTATTTCTGCCCTCAGGACTTTACTTCTCAGGCAGACATTGTTGTTGACTTGTACAGAAGTGCTTACATCATGGCAGCTACAGCCGTCCTCACCTGGATATCAGACACACACCTGCATCCACACCCTCCTGCACACCTTTCTTTCAACCACACAGGTTGTTCACAACCACTTTGCAGGTCAAGGTCTGCCGTAATTACAGACCATGGAAAGACGAGAGAAACCTTTTTTTTTTTTTTTTTTTCTGAACTGGCAATTACAGCTTTTGTTGCTGGTTCTATTTTGAGTCAAGAACAAAACTTTGATCTCCAGAAGAAAATAAACATGTCAAAAACACATACCGTATTAATATCGGGTGGTAGTTACAGATAAAGCAACAGCGGAGTGGGTTATCTTGATCGTGTGAGGGGATGGAGAGAACATGGGCATTTCTTTTAGTCACAGCACTGCTGCCTTTGGTAGACATTTGGATGACATGTGCAAGTTATTAAAAAGAAGAAATCTAGACAAAGCTGGAGAATGAGAACAGAAAAGGGACAAGAATGGCAAAAAAAAAAAGAACATAAGTGCGAGAGTGGGAACGTAATCCATTTTGGAACGCATTCCACTATGACCTTGAGATAGAAAATGGTAATTAAGGCGTAGTTGGGAAGAGTTCAGACTCCACAAATCTGGTTAGACTAAGACTGTCATTTCTTTTTTTTTGCGTGTGTTACTTTTTTCTTTTAGCATTTCTCCTGAAAATGTGGGACTAATGCATGCCATGGGTTGCAAAACAAACCCGCCAAAAATACACTTGCATCCACTTGTGTGACTTGCTGTAATGGCTCCCTCATGGTTTGTTTATTTCAGCTCCTCAGCCGTGAATGGGTGTCAAAGCCACAGCATAAACAGACAGAGCCCCTGACAGGAAAAGGCCTGAACAAACTGTGGCCTTCCCCGTGCTTTAAAATCCATGTCACCGTGGACACGCTACCTCAGGAAATGAACCGCACAGTCCTGGTGAAACAGGGTTAGAATGACATATCCAAAAGCATTCAGCTGTTTCGATCTGAATGGAAAGTAGTAACAGAGCCACATATTGAAGACACAAAACTGATGTGTTATCTCTTAGAAGTTAACCTAAGAAAAACTGGCAACAATTATTAAATAAGCAGCGTGCAGTCCAGCAGCCAGACTTATTGAGGCACTTATGACACTTTAAATGTTTTTCAGGTTTGCAGACAAACAGCTCAGCTAATCAATAATCTGTTCACTTTGAAAAAGACACAGCTGCACTTTATGAATAGTTACCAAACATGCAAAGCAGATGCAACATCCTCTTGCTGAGACATCACCCCCTGCAGCGTTTAACCATTAAAGTAAGTTTTAAAGTAATACCCTTACCACGTTCATGAAAATGTCTGAAGACATTCGCGAAAATGGAATTTGTTGCCACAGTGTGCCAATCACACTCCAGATGTTTGAGCCAGCAGCAGCAGTCAGTTGGATTTCTGGTGTCTGACTGGGGGAAGGGGGCTCCTTGATTGCTTTCACATGTGTGCAGGCATAATGTTTATCTGTTTGGAAGTTGCTTTTCTTTTTTTCTTGCATTTTAGCATCCAGATTTACAGCTTACCCAGCTTATTCTGTTTTTTTTTTTTCTTTTTCTTTTTTTCTTTTTTAAAGTCGAACCAAAACTTTGTTGGTTGTGTCGTTTTTATTATGAGGTTGAGTTCTTTTGAGCAGTTTTGGTTGTTGAACACTCAGATAAACAGACATTGCTTTGGACTCAGATGGTTGATTGGATCAAAATGATCATATCCACTTTACAATACGAGCTCCTTTATGAAGGATTTACTAATGCTTAATAAATAAGTTACTAATGAGTTTGTAAACACTATTAAAAAGGTTATAAACAGGGTGCGGCATAGTCGGTGTTTGGCAGGAAGTGCTGTACTTCTTAGGTAAATGTCATTTGAGCTACCTGCTCATATTTCTACCTAAATAACTTAATACGCCAAAACAAGCTTTGTATTAAGAAATGTTTCTAGTTCTTACACGTAACATACTGACAAATGCTTGATATTAAAATTTGAAATGATGAATGAAAGTCTTAGCATTTCTTCTTGTCCACCACCTTTAAGGCCAGAGTTTTAGACTTAAGTCCATCTTGTGCTGAGATATGACAAAGTTGTAGCCATTTTGGTCGAACTTTGAAAATAAGGCCTTGTGCCATCCATCCATCCATCCATCCATCCATCCATCCAGCCACCCATCCCATCATGTATCATGTAGAGCTGAAGCTTATCTTCAGCAGTCACTATGAAAGAGGCGGGGGACACCCATGACAGATCGCAGCTCCTTCAAAAGAGCCACAGAGACAAACGAGACAAACAACCATTCATACACTCACTCACATCTAGGGTCAATTTAGAGTTAGCAATTATCCTAACATGCATATTTCTGGTCTGTGGGAGGAAACTGGTATACCCATAGAAAACTTGTACGTGCATAAAGAGAACATTCAAACTCACCCCCCAGAAAAACTCCAGACCAGGAGGTGATCCTGTGACTTTCTAGCTGAGAGGTGACAACTAACCACTTCACCACTGTGCTGACTTGTTAAGTTTAATCCACTGCGATATTGCAAGATGTTATGCTTAATGTGTTGTGAATAACACTCAGCTACATCTAATTCTAACTCAACATCTGCTAAATTAACCTATTTATATCCATTTTAACGTTTGCTATCCCTACCTGTTGTGCACATACATCCAATGATTTATGTCTGAAAGTTGAATTAAAATCCACCCAGTGTTTTATGAAATACTTTACCAACAATCAGTCAAAAGTGGATAATTTGTTGATAATCATTCAATTACCGGTATTACTTTCTGCAAGTTTCAATAAAAATGATCCAGTAGTTGAAGTATTTTAAGATAGACACACAACAGCATATCCACACACTCATAGGCAAGATCATTGTCCAGCTTTGCCTTTAGGCAGTGCGACAAAAAACAAGTAAATAATGGCTCTCTGTTGTGCAAGAAACAAGTTAGTGTTCTTTAACCCTATCAATGGTTTACTTAGTGTTGTTTAATTAATAACTGCACCACCATTATTTAGTATTTTATAAGAATACCCGTATTGTAAAGTGGCACAGATGATTTTGCTAATTTTCTCTACTTGGTTGCACAAACAAGAAAAAAATCATTTGTAACAAGATAAACAACATTTCTTTTTCTTTATTAGCTGCAAGGGTGGCCACAGGGAGCAAACTTTGCCCGAAAGACTTGGCAGTTGTTTTATGCCAGTTGCTCTTTCTGATGCAACCTGGGCTCAAACTCACAGCTTCAGGATAAAAAGAGATAAACAAAACAAAAAAACATGGACGGAGACAACTTGGCTTGTTTAAATACATATGACAGCTAAGTTCATGCTCACATACTTAGGATGTGGTTTAGCCTTTTAATGTCCTTACGGTTTTCAGGATTCTGAGATGTTTTTAGTGCATTTGATCCCGTAGTGAATAATCTTGTACCTTGAAGTTAAACAGCTTGTACATAATGCATGATTTCGCTTAGTGTGAGCCAAGTTAAAGGAGTGGTGTCTGAAGCGTTCTTCATCACCACCACGCTCCGCTCAGCATACCTAAAACTGGAATGTTTGATTAATTTATTTTCAGGACTGATAAGGTAAACTGAAAGGTTTCATTGGTCATGCATGTGTAAACGTGGCCAACAGCGTTGCCTAGTCAAGCTCTTACCTGTAGGGGTTGAAGCTGGGGGCAGGTGGGGGGGAGTCAGACACACCCTAATACCCCAACATCCTGACCTTAACAAACCTGTAACAACTTGCTCTCAGTCCTGACAACGTGTTCCCTCGACTCTCCTTCTCTAGCCCAACACCTCTGCCAGCGTCGCTCTCTGGGCCATGGGTGGGCTCTGGATTTGAGAACCTTAGTCTGCCTTTGTGAGCTAATGTCGTGCTTCAAACCAGGAACAAAAGCCGTCAGTGCAAATTAAAGACCAATTATCTTTTGTGCGTGCTTGGGCAAGTTGGTCATGTTGGCTTGAGTGATGACTGGGAGAAATGAGAGGGTGCAGAAGAAAAATGAGTTTGATTAATGCGCGTGAATGACACGTGTAAAATTAAGTTTAGTGATGGATGCGTTTTGATTTTTCTGTAACTTTTTGGCACAACACTGAAATTTAGTTGGATTAGTTGGACCAAATGACAGGAATTATGTCACAAGTGAGGACTGACCCACTTTAGGACATAGTGACCTGGTCCACTGCTTATAAATATATTTAAAA